TGGAGTGTGGGACCCATCACCTGTAGATGTCTGCTGCCAGAGTGGGGATGAGAGGTTGTTGGCCACCAGCCACTTCCCACCAAGTCTCCTTGCTGTTGGCAGGGCTGGGCTTGGGGGAGCGGGCTGTCCTCAGACCCTGGTGCATTATCAGGGAGGTGAAATATTTATGGCTCTGCCATGCTGTGCAGAGTTTGCTTCAGGCCGGGCGCCCTTGCTGCCGGCTCTTTGCACCTGTGGCCCACTTGGGAAGAGCCGCTTTTATTTTTTATAGATGATCATGGGTCCAGAACATGCTGGACCCGAGTGTGGGTAGTGCAGAGACTCGGCCCACAACGTCTCTCTCTTAACACTAGAGTTCTGAGGCGCTGTTAACACAAAGAACAGGCAGGTTTTTATTTCCCTATGAGGGACCCGTGCATTCTGCCCCCAGGTCCTGAGCCTGCTGGGAAGTGCAGGGGAATTTCTCCTCTCTGCTGTGTGTTTTGGCTCTTCAGGGAGCATTATTCAGGATTTCCAATTGAGCCTCTTTATTGGGCCATCTGTATCGTGTCACAGGCAAGCCCCAATACCAAAAGGGCTCTCATTGATTTCAAATGATTTACAGTTCGATTAGCTTTCTGGACATGCTGCAGTTGGGAAGGCGTTTGCCTGCAGCGCCCATGGCAGTCGTATGATTTCTTTCTTCGCTCGGACTTGTCATTATTCACACCAGAGACCCCTAAGCAGAAGTTTCTCTCCCTCCCCCTGCCTTGGTGCAGAAGTTGCACCCTGTAGAGTGGGGCTTGGATGCACAAGTAACCCTCCCATACCAAGAACGCAAGCTAGCATTAGCCACTTGCAATAGCTGGCCCTAGAGATTTCCAGCATAGCACAGAGCGGGGACCCCCTGTCTCTCCGCACACAGATAATGGGGCAGGACTGTCCCTTGTCCACCCACCCTGTAATTCACTGTGCACTCCTGATTTTTCACTGGGCTCTGTCATATCACGAAGAACAGTTAAAATGTCAAATTAATTTTGGGTCGTTGCCCACTGATCGCTCCTCAGTGGCCTACGTGACCCGCCTCTGCCGACCCCCATCCAATTCCTGTGGGACTGGTGCCCACGTGACACAAGCTGCTGCCACAGTTGGCACAAATCGGCACCCTCGGTGGCGCTCTTGCAAGAGAAGTCAGGGATTGAATGGGTGTACCCACTGCACTGCCTACCCTGCCCCTAGAGGGCAGCCTTCCAGGTCAGAGTAGAGAGACGTTGCCAAAGGGCTTAGAAGGGGAAACTTGCAGTGCTACGGTCTGTGGATAAATGCAGCTTGGGGCCAGACGAGGTGCCGGGAAACTGCCCGTGGAGAGTTGAGTGCCACCCCGGTGCTGCCCTGAAGCCAAACTGCCAGTTGAATGCTCTAGGGGGCCCCCTCCTCGCCCCCATTGAGCCAGCTGTCTCCAAACAATTGGAGGGGATCAGACTCCTACTCCTCACCGGCTCCATCCCTACGGTGGGGTTGCCCAAACCCCCAGACTTGCCTGGCTTCTCCCAGTCCCACCCGGTGGTGCAGTTCCCCTCCCCTGCCCGTTCTTGTAGGTCTTTGCCTGGGGCAGTGTTACACGGGAGGGTTTTCTGCCCCCGCTGCAGTGAGAGATTCTTTCTCTCCGCGTGCTGGCTGCAGAGACCGAAATCCTCCTCCTCCCCCCTCCCCCACCTCTGACTCCAGTGCTTTTGACGGCTAAATCTGTGCCTCGCTCCCTAAACCTGCCTCCTAGCCAAAGCTATTGAAAAGGTTTCCCAGCAGAGCCGGGTATTCAGCCGGAGACTGGCTCTGCCTGGCCAAGAGCCACATGCTCTCACAGACCCCAGCAGAGAGACAACAGGCCGTTTCGCATCCAGGCGAGAGGGGGCTATATCGTCTGACAGCAGAGCAGGGGATGAACCTCAACCCGAGCATTCTTGCTGCTTTGCTGCAATCCTTGATGATTATTTTTGTGCTGGGGCTGGTTAATCTTTGACATTTCACGTGGTGGCTTTAAGGGGAAAAGACAGGCCGTGGAAGACAATCGCTGATCAGCTGCAGACTAGTCGAGTACCTGGCCTAATGGCCTGAGTGCAGAACTGAGAGCCAGAGGCTCCTGGGAACCCACACAGTCTGTCCCCTGTGTGAATACTGTTCCCCGGGCATGCGTTTGCATGGGTGTGTGCAACTGCCTGGATGGGTGGGCCCTTGAGTTCTGTTCCAGGCTCTGCCACTGACTTGCTATGAGACCATGGGCAACTCACTTTGTCTCTTTGGCCATGTCTACACTATGAGCGCTACTGTGGCCAGCGCTGTAGTGCCCTAGTATGGATGCTTCCTACAGTGACGTAAGGGTTTTTTCTGTCGTCGTTCAGCCACCTCCTGGAGCAGTAGCTAGATCATTCTTCCATTGACCCAGCCGTGTCTACACCAGGGGTTGGTCAGCATAGCCGCAGCCCCTGGGAGTAAATCTTTCCCACCCCTGAGTGACATAGCTCTCAATTTTAAGTGTAGACCAGGTCTCAGTGTTTACCCTTCTGCAAAACAGGGTTAGCAGTAACAAAAGGGCAGTATGGGTTAATTAGTCAATGTGCATAAAAGGCATTGAGAGCCTTGAATGAAAACGTCTGTATCAAAGCAAAGTATGATGATGATTATTCAATATGACTATGAGAGCTACCACAGAGCCTGTCTGAATCCCAGAAGTGGTAGGCAGTAACTGACCATACACTGTGTTCTCTATAAACCAGATTCTTAAATCTTCACCTAGGGAAAACTCCCATAGATTTCTGTAATCCTTGGACCTTTGCCTGCGTGCAGACTGCCTTCTGCTGGCTCTACATTTCCCACCACTGAATGACAGTGATGTTTGGAGGTAGAGAACACAGGAGCATGTAAAGTGGGTGTAAAGGACTAGAGAGAAAGTGAAAGGGTGACTTGGTCACAGGCTGGAATAGAGGTTTCATAAGAGGGGGGTTTTCAATCTAGCAGACAGAGGTCTAACAAGAGCCAATGGCCAGAGAGTGACGCTAGACAAATGCAGACTGGAAAAAAGGCCCAGCCTGACAAAGCCCTGGCTGGGATGATTTAGTTGGGGTTGGTCCTGCTTTGAGCAGGGGGTTGGACTAGATGACCTCCCGAGGTCTCTTCCAACCCTAATCTTCTATGGTTCTGTGTAAGGTGCAAATTTGTAACTGTGAGGGTAGTTCTCCATTGGAACCCTTTCCCAAGAGAGATGGTGGATTCTCTCACTGGACATTTTAAAATCAAGACTGGATTCTTTTCTAAAAGATCTGCTGTAGCTGAGCCAAATGAATTCGTCCAGGGAAGCTTTATGGCCTGTGTTATGCAAGGGGTCATGCTACATGATCCCAGACTTTACTTTTGCCCTGACAATCTAGGAATCCATGTTTCAGTCAGGTTTCCTAACAGACTTCCTGCCGCTTGCTGGGATGAGTCACCATTTCTGATTTCCTATTTTTAATTTAAGCACATGCTTAAAATCGTGCAGTTGCTTTTAACAGCTACTCTTGGGTTTAATACAAGATGTGCGAAGAGCCGCTGCGTATTATTTGCAGAATCGTAGCAAACGGAGATGGGAAAGACCCATTACTCCATCTAGTCTGTCCCTCTGCCATTGCAAGCTTGTTTCCTTCACCATGGTGTGCTCCCCAGTGTTTTGTGCTGTCCATTTAAAAATATCTTTTTGTTGGAGCTTCTGTTGCTTTTCTCAGGGCAAGGGCTCTCAACCTGGGAGTCTTGGACAGGTGTCAGGACTACACTGTCCTTCTCGTGGGGCTAAGTGGGGAAGGGACTCTGTTGGATTGTAAAATGGAAAAGGGTAAGAACTCTGGTTTAGGATCTTGTTCTACAGTCTAACAGACTGGATATAGCCCCTTGTGGGCTATATGATTCCTCTTCTGGCTTGGTGTTTACAGCCTTCAAATGTGTGTGGAGAGTCCTCTTTCCTCCCCTAAGCTACCATGGGTCTGAGCTATTCTATGCAGGGTGACTAACCTTTTGCCATCAGTTGCTCCAAACCCTTAAATACTTTTATTTCTCTTCCCCTGAATTCCTTCCAGTTCGTTGACATGTTTATGGTATTGCTGTGCCCAGAACTCGATGTACTGTTGCAGGGCCCCTCCTCCACCCTGAAGCCTAAGGCAAGGCCTGTTCTCTCTTTGAGACATGATACATCTGTTCATGAAAGCCCATAGATAGGCGCTGGAGAATTAAGCAGAGGGATATGGGTGATAATTGCTCAGAGACGTGTGGACAGCCGTTGCTGGATTTAGTTGCCCTATCTTTCACATGGTGGTTTAATCTGATCAGGCAATACATCATGATATTTAGGGGCCCCTAATTCTCCCTGGCCTCAGAATGCCATTTTCCCTAACCCTGAACCCGCAAGGGTGGGTTGTCCACTGGAACCCTGACTGAGAACTCGGTTGCCAGCAGTATCAATAACTATCGGAGAAGAAAATGGGATGGCTGGTGGTTTGTCAAGAACTGATAACCTGCTCAGAACATCATGCGACACAAGGGGAGTTCTTCCCCAGCAGGCTGACAGTCAGACACGGTCGATAAGGCACGCCAGGAGCAGATGTTCTGAACTAGCTCACATCACTTCTCCTGTGACATTCCCTACGGCGGCCTTTTGGAGTGGGCTAGTGTTTGTGGGTTTTGTGATGACCTGAGCGGTTCTCTCTTGGGTAACTGAGAGCTTCAGCAGCACTGGGCGGTGACTTGGTTATACATGCTGTCCATGTGGTATTTTAATGATTGATAGTCACTGCTTTTCCTGTGGTTGTTTTTGATTTTTCAGAATAGCTCCAAGGGGCTCGCGGACTTGACATGGGACCCAGTGCGTGAGCCACTTCTGGGGCAAAGCAGCTCCACTGTATTGCAAATAGACTTGGCTCTTCTCTTATTAATGATCCCATGAAGTGGCATTGCTACAAATAACCTACCTGGCATCCTTCCCTTTGCCTATGCAGGAAGGAGACTCGTTTGGAGCCATGGAGAAGGTCTGCAGGCAGCTGACCTACCACCTCAGCCCTCACTCGCAGTGGAGACGCCAAGGGATCATGAAGAGGAAGTCTCAGTCCTGGTGAGTCAGCTTCTGAAAGCCATGCAGATTGTTTGTTTGACATTTCCTCCCGCCCCCGATCAGTTGCTTCGAGACGTGTTGGTGTCACTTTCAGGTCGAAATGGAAGGAAATCGCTTCTGCCGTGGCCATCGGCGTTTGTGGGAGGGTAGCTGTAAGCAAGCCATCGGGGAGCAGAGATTGTTTCCCCAGAATCAAATTTATTCATCATCTCAGCTGCCTTTCCTGTGCTCCCAGCAACACTAATCTGTCTGTGCCACCGTATCTGTGCATTGGCTCACCCCCATCCCTTTAGGCCCAGGTGTTAGGCTTCCTATGCTCCTGGGTAGCTTTAACTTCTGGGAAATGTGATGCTTCAGTACGGATGGTCGGTTGTCTCTGCAGGTCGCTGCCCAACTGTCGCCCTTGCAAATGACAACAATTCCCTTTGGTTATGGACTAGGGGCTTGATTCTGCACAGCACAGATGTGGAGTGTTGCACCTGTAAACACGGGGTGAAAAGGGAGGAACAGGTGAGCTCATGGGAAACTGACCCCGAACTAAGGAGTGTGCTGGCCACTAGGTTGCTCTTGCCTAGTAACAGGAGTGAGACCTACGTGGGGAGTGTAGAAATAAGGGCCTTGTTAGCATGATGAGGATTATGCTTACCCCAGATCTACTCTGGCATATCTAGTCACATACCTCTGCACTTGTTTTACCCAATGCATTTGTGAACAAGGGGGCAGGTGCACAGGAGGCTTGAGGCTTGCCCCCAATCCATGCGGCAGAGTTTACCTAGCATTTACCCTCCTCTGCTGTCACTGTCTCTTTGGCTGGGCTTTGCTTGCCACTGGGACGACACCTGCTCTCAACTGTCCTTGCAGAATTCAGTGCTTCTGCTGCATTGTACCTGCTTTTATGCCCTGGTTCACATTATGCAGGGACTTGGGGGGGATGCAGGCTTAATTGCTATGATGCTGATATGTGCATTCATCTTTGCAAAGCTAGACAGACCACCTGGGGCTTAAATCTGCCGGGCCAGTTGGTGTAACGTATCTGAATTAATCAACTGCACTGGGGATTTAGCAAGAAGGGCTTTAGGATGGGATTTTCAAAAGCTACAAAGGCACTTAAGTACCCAACTCCTAGTGAAAGTCCAATGGGAATCGGGTGCTTAAGTCTTGGAGAATCTCTCTCTTATTAAATCAGTGTTTGCATATGAGGGTGCAACCCTCTCCCTTTCTAAATCCCTAGCCCTTTCCCCTTGTCTGTTGTGTACTCATTGTCCGGGAAGGCTGCATGAAACTTCCACAGATGCATAAATACTTAGCTGACAACAGTTGTATTCACCATCAGAGTCTATGGTGTAATGTGATGATCAGAGACAACACCAATTTGTCCAGGCTAGACTTTCTGCTCTGACAGTTAACGTACAAGCGCAGTGGCTGTGTTGTTGTGAGACATCTTGGCTTTGTGATGATCTGCATAGAGGGAATTGTGGGATTAAAAACAGCCCAGGGGCGGGGAGGAAAACATCTAATTCAAATGAACCATCTTAACCCCTCCCCACAAGCTCCTCAAAATACCAGTGTCACTGCTATATGCATGTCCCAGAACTCTGCAGCTTAGAAGCACGTGGCTAAGGCAGCATTGACAGAAATCCAAAAGGTCAGCTGTCTGCCCAGCATGGCTGATGCGGCGTCTCCGATAAAGTCAGTGTCAAGTGCGTGCTGTCTCCAGCCCATCGGTGGCTTGTTTCTTTCTTTTCCAAGGGTGCAAGTTCAATTATTGCCATCTCCTGACACAATTAAAAGCCCTACCTGTCAGCTCAGCACTAAGGTCTGCTTCAGCAGCTCTTCCACTGGAGCCACCCTGTGGCAGCTCTAGGTTGAGTGTGCAGCTAGGTGGGGGCATTGCTCAGGGACTGCTGCGGTTGGCTGGCTGGTCCCTGAAATCCCACTGTTGCTGCTGCTCCTTTGGTGCCCCCTGCTGGGACGTGCGCTGAATAGGTTGGGGCACTGGAGCAGCTGCCCTGCATGGATCTTCGAGCTACAAGAGCCATTCCATTATATTGACAAGGGAGAAGGGTGCCGAGCATTAGGATGAAGGTAAATGTGTGTTGCTCTGATTTTATGCTCCCGTTTTTCTAGGTAGGGCAGAGCCCCCCAAACCCTGGTAAGTTTGTTGTTCCCCTGCTGCAGCCACCTGCTAGGAAAAGGTCCAACTTCTCATATAAATTCATTTAATTCCTGAGGGTGGCGCTACACCTTGGAAACCTTTGAGCTAGTTTAGAGGTGGCCTTTTTTTCACATGCCGAATCACGACTATAAGCCTCAAGGCATCAACGGGGGAGGGGAGGGCACCGCACCAGCCCATCATGTACTGAGTGCCAGATGGATCTGTTAGCAAGGGAACGGGCTTCTCTGCTTTCCCCTTTCTCTCGCTCATGTGGAGGGGTGAAGCTCCCTCTTCCATTCATCTCCTCTTTCTGTGGCTGGGAGAAATGCAGTCAGTCATCCTCCTCCACGCTGGAAATGGCCATTAAATGTCCCAGTATGAGATATTTACGGGGAAGTCTGCCATGCCACAATATCTCTCTATCCATCATGTAATGCACTCTATTTCGAGGATCCCAGATGGTGGGGTATCTCCTGGCAGTCTCTGATTATTGCATGATGGGGTTTCTTGTGCCTGTGTTGGAATGGAGCTGCTCGGTAACAGTGAATGGATACTGTCTATTAATATAGTGGTTTAGTTTAATAGGGGGGTTGTCAGGAAAAACAAGCAGGAAGGGGAACAATGGCTCAAGATAAGCCACTCCTCAGGAAACTCCTAAGGGTTGTTGAGAGACAATACCCCAATGATGAGCTTTGAAGGTTCAGCCTCTTAGCTCCCCCAACATACACAATTGATTCTGATGAGCAGGGACGAAGTCCAGGAAGGCGCAAAGGAACTCTGACGGGTTTAAAAGGACTTTCTCAAGAGGAGAGGAGTTGTTTGGAGGGACCAGGCTTCTACACAGGCGCCACTGGGGCATCTGACAAATTAAGGCCTGCCGAGGCTACCATCAGAGGACGGTAAGCCTGTAGGGAAGATAGCCGTGCGTGCCGACTGTTTGTGGCTTTAAAAATTCTCTCTGAATGTTTTGTTGCTCCTGTGAAAGCAAGCACTCCCTAGGTTTTAAGAAGGCTATTTTGTCACTGGATACCGCTGGTCACAGACTCCCACAGGGGAGAAATGCAGGTGATCAGTCAGATCAGCGGGGTCAGCACGGTTGATACCCAGAGTGCTTGAGCCCAAGGCCCGCTCTGAGAGGGGGAGAACTGTGGAGTTCTGCCCAGGGGAGGCAAAGGCCTGAGGTGGGTGGTGCACACACACACAGAGACTAGGAAGGGGACAGAGGTGCAGCTAGCTCCGTAACTCTGAGAGCGCCTTCCTCTGACAGGGCCCTGACCTAGCAGGGACCCTGGCCTCATCTGGTACGGCAAGTCCCATATTTTTATGATGCTGACGGGTGCTGAGATAAACGGCACCGCTCTCCCTTGCACGGCACGCAGAGCTTTGCTTCCACGCCGCGTGCACCAAGTAGCAGAGGTGGAGTAGTATAAGATTCGGCCGTGGAAACTCTTGGTATTGCTAATTCTGTATCGTAAGTGTGGTGTTGGGCAAGGCCTGTGTGCAGCACTGTCCCCTGGACTGATTGCTAATCACTGCTAACGACTGACTTATGACACTGTCTCCTCATTGATGGCTGTTTGCATTGTGGTTGTAGCTGTGTTGGTCTCAGGATCTTAGAGAGAGAGGGTGGGTGAGGTAATGTCTTTTGTTTGACCAACTTTGCTTGATGAAAGAGACCAGCTTTCAAGCCCCATAGAGCTCTTCTTCAGTAGCTAACAAATTCTCTCTGAGGGCATGGCTACACTTGCAGATGTAGAGCGCTTTGAGTTAAACCAGCCTCCGTGGAGCGCAGTAGGGAAAGCACTGCAGCCTGTCCACACTGACAGCTAGAAGCGCACTGGCGTGGCCACATTAGCAGCTCTTGCAACGGCCACAGAGAGCAGTGCCTTGTGGCAGCTATCCCAGCATGCAAGTGGCTGCAACGTGCTTTTCAAATGGGGTGGGGGGTGGAGTGTGACAGGGAATGTGTTGTGTGTATGTGGGGGGAGAGTGAGTGGGTTTTTGGGGAACTGAGAGCGTGTCAGCATGCTGTCTTGTAAGTTCAGACTGCAGCAGACCCCCCTCACCCTCACCTCTCTCTCTCACTCTCACAGCAAGCAGCATTCCATAGTAATGGTTCCTTTGTCCCAGAGCAGATAAGCAGCTGGCTGTCAGAAATGGAGCTTTCAAAGGTATATCCGCATTCCTACAGTGATTCCAAAACAATGAGAAGAGTGGCCACATGATTTAAGGGGATTATGGGACGTTTCCAGAGGCTGATCAGAGCGCAGTAACGCAACACCTCGTTCACACTGGTGCCCGAGCATTTCAGCCAAGGCGCACCAAGCATTAATCTTCTTGCCGAGGTGGAGTACCAGGAGCGCTCTAGCCGTGGAGTCAGAGCGCTCTACATGCCTTGCCAGTGTGGACGGGTCGTGAGCGAGGGGCCTGGGGCTGCTTTAAATGTGCTCTAACTCACAAGTGTAGCCAAGCCCTGAGCTCCTGCTCTTTTGCAGCAGGGTGAACTGAGTTCTAGCCCTGCTGAGGGGGTGAACGTCTGGTGAGCTGTAGTGTGCTTCACAGTGACCGTGAAAAGCAGGTCCAATAAAAGGCTAAATAATCCTGTCATGCATCAGATGTTTGCCTCTGCCTCCATCTTTGACATTTGCCAAGGGTGTGTATTATTGATTGGCAATGTTACTTTCTTTGTCTCGCTGTTATGTTTTATGCGTGTTTGTTTTTATTCCTTAAAGAAAGGGAAGGTGACAGTAGCTAGAGGAGTCAGTTATAATCAGCATTATATATCATCAACTCGGGGGCCCCAGGTGTGATCATGTCTCTGTTGTAACAGGTGCAGTACAAACAC